GTGTGTGTGTGTGTGTGTGTGTGTGTGTGTGTGTGTGTGTGTCCACGTTGGGAAGTTTACTTGAATCCACAAACAGCAACACAATGCGATGTAGGTGTAATGAGGTCAATGAGGTTTTGTTTGTGGGAAAATAATTAGGGCGGCTGCAGAAATACATACAGCAGGAGATGTATGCACTTCATGTATGTTTGCCTTTGTACACGATTGGTTATGTAATCGTGCTTCTCTTCTGTTGTGTGTGCAGCGGGCCAGTGGGAGGTGGCGTACAGCGGTCCAGCAACAGAATGCATGTGTGAGCGCCTGACACCCTGGACCTTTTACCGCCTACGTGTGTGTAGCATCACCACCGGAGGACACAGCCCGGTAAGACACACACATCTACACACAAACGCACATGCAAATCCACAAGTCTGAAGTGGTTACCTGAATTGAACTTTGATTTTCACAGTGACGCATCAGCATTTTGAGAAAATCTAAAGTACGCAAACACATATTGAACAGAGTTCCTCCTCTTCTCTTTTGTTCTCCTGTGTTTGTCTCTGCTCCTGAAGTGCACTGTTGGTGTTCCGGTCCGTACGTCAAGCGTGCTGCCAGGCCCCTGCCAGCCGCCAAGGATTGTGGGTAAAGCCAAACACAAGGAGGTGCAATTAGAATGGGGTGAGTGCAGACACACACGTACGCCGCGTTTAGCTTTAGTCTCTATAAAGTATTTACGTTAAGTCCAACAAATCGCCCTCTGGCAGTTGAATATGTTTCCTGGCCAGCTCTAATGTAACCTTGGTCAACCATGTTTCAGCCTAATTGAGCCTTAATTTAGGCCATTAACCGCCTTTACTTCACCTCATATCTGACTTCACTCCCCTAATGTCGGCCCATTATTGCAGATTAGTGCTGTTATTTGTTGGCAGGCAAAGTCTCCCGGCCTGAAACGCAGAGGAAGCTCTTGGTTGAGCCGGTCTAATACAGCTGGACACAGCCCTAATCAGCTCACATTCAGGCAGCGCTGCCACATTTTACAATTGGCTGGAGCTGAAGGTCAGAGAGAATGTGTTGGAGGGGTTTCCCTCACTGTATCCACCATTTATAACCTTCACCATACTGCGGACAAAATAAGGCATCTGGAGGGAGGAAGTTTGGAAAAGATTGATAAATGTATCTGATAAACTGATCCTTAAACACGTGTCCCTGAAAACCAAACACAATCTTGAAACTTTTTTTATATCCAAGAGGTCACGGGAGTAGATAGGGAGAACGTCCACATTCCATATATGGTCAGAATTGGTCAAACTAATGGCGGCCTACTGTCAAACTGTAATAATAGTATAATGATTATTTTACCAGGAAATACACTTAATACCTTTTATTCTATTCCTTCAAAGTCTTCAAAGTTTCGGATAAGTGTCCTCAGACCACGTTTTGATTCTCTGCCTCTGTGCTCAGACTCCCCTGTCTCCGATGGAGTGTGTGATGTGTGTGTGTTCAGTCTGGAGATGAGCGAGGGCGACACCAAGCCAGCAGAGGTGTACAATGGGTCGGAGCTGCAATGCACGGTCAGCAGTCTGCTACCTGGGGCCACGTACAGCTTCCGACTGCGGGCTGCCAACGAGGCGGGGGTGAGGAAATTCACACGTGCACACAGCGGGAATGTCTTCAGGAATTATCAAAAAAAGAAATGGAAAAGAGACCATAAAATCCACAAATATATTTTCCCTCAATCACAAGTCAGCCTTTTAAAAATAAGTCAAGTCATTATTTTCCGTTTAGAAGCATTAAATACTGTTTAATGACCATTCGGGCCCCAAAATATAAATGTATATACAAACAGGGGCCAGCAGGTATTAAGTGTCCCAGACAGTCTTAACAGTGGCGGTGTTTGGATTGGAGTGAACCACAGACTGGAGCTAACACTTGATTGATTATTCTCACAGACAAGAGTCAACTGGAGCTCAGACTGGCTGATTGGCACAAACACAGTGTACACACACACGCACTCTAAAATAGGAAGCAGGGAACACCGAACAAACAGCTCAAGTAACCGTACAAAAACACACAGCTCACGTGTTCACACACACAGACTTCTCTAATTGTTGATGTGTGTCTCTCTCTTGCAGTTTGGAGCATACTCTGACCCCACAGAGGTGACGACTGCAGCGGGTCCTCCTGGCCAGTGCGGGGCGCCACTCATCACTCTCACCAACAACACTTGCGTAACGCTTAACTGGGAGGTGAGACAGACACAAACACACACAAACACAGACACAAACACACACACAGCAATCACGCCCATATTAATCAAAGGAAAGAAACGCCTTATATGGGCATAGAAAACAAAGACAAGATGGAAAGAGACAGAGCGGACACATTTTTACAATCTGTCTAAAAATGCCCAAACTCCCCTGAGCTCAGAACCTGCAGCTTTAACTTTGTCTGCATGGTGTGTTGTTAACTAGTTCACCCAGCAGACCAATTTATCATGGGCTTTCCTGGATGACGCATTGAAAATGAAATAAAGTCCTTGGTGTTGTATCTGAAATTGGATCAAGCCTGTCTTCAGTATTTCAGATTAATTTATGGCGGATTTGCTTTATTTTTATTCCGAGTTCCCATTGATTTCTCTGTGTGTGTGTGTGTGTGTCTCTGTGTGTCGCAGAGTCCCGAGGGTTCGGGTACAGACATCTCCGAATATCGTTTGGAGTGGGCGAGGGAGGAGGAGCCCATGGAGCTGATCTACTGTGGATCAGCCACACAGTGTGAACTGTCGGATCTGACGCCTGCCACAGACTACTGCTGCAGGCTACAGGTGACACAACCAGAAACACACACTTCAACACAATCATGGGCGATCACGTCCACTAACCTGCATTCATGCACAGGCACACAGAGATGTTTGCATACAAGAAAGGGAAAGGGGCATAAATGATGCGTGAACACAGATATGCAGAGAAGAGCCCAACTGTCAACAACATTCAATCAACCCACACAAAGTCACACACACTCACACGTTTTCAGACATGAATGCTGGGAAAAGTCCAGAAAATTGGAGTTTGCCTAAATCACACATGAACAATGCAGCATGAGATGTTTTGGTTAATAAGCGTTCACAATTAGAGGAAAATCTCTGGAGCGGTCAGACGAGGGTTGGCACAGCAGGAGGCAGGACATGACGTATTGATTCTGCTGTGAAGTTCTGTTCACAGCACATCAATACCGGCGTCGGCCCTTATTGCTCTCAAGTTGGCATATTCGTCTGCGTCTCTTTTTCACCCTTAGATATTTGTATTTGTTTAGTTTTTTTCAGTTTTGCATCTGTCGCATCTTAGAAACATCACCACATGCCCATCCAGCCATTTTCCTGCTGTGTTCTCATTTGGAGCCTCTGACTTGGACATTTGCTTTCTCACATAGAGCCCCTTTGGATCATTTCAGGAGCTTATCATTGCATGTCTGAAAGCAACTGAAAATCTCAGTACCCTCAATACGCCTGATATTATTTCATCAAGATCCATGAATTATTGACAAAATAAAAAAAAAAACGCCCTATTTCACAATGTGAAAGATTCCCGGGTCTGTCCCTTTGTCCAACTAGGTTGTTCGCCAAAGTTCCATGGAAATCAGCTCAGTAGTTTTTGCGTAATCTGATCGCAAACATTTACATACAAACATCAGCCAAGGGAAACATCAAAAGTTAGAAACACACACAGACGGACAGAGACAAGGGGGAAAAGACTAATAATCGATTTTGTTTGTGCCCTGACTCTTAATCTTGTGCATCAATATCTGCTCTGTCGTGTTCCTCCTCTGTGTAAAACACACACACACACACACGCTTGCTAGCTCCAATAAATGTATGTTTTATGGCTCTTCCACTTGGTTAATTTATATAGTTTTAAGAACAGGACAAGTTCATCTCACTGTCCTACTCAATTATTTGATCTTGTGTGTATGTACACACAACACATCTACATGTCCTTATGTGCATTGATACAGCAATGTGCACGTGTGTGTAAGAAGAAGAATGGTCGAACTGGATGTGACCCGTCATGTTCTGTAGCTGCAGGTGATGATATTGTTTCATGTGTCACAGTTCGACATGAACTTGTTTTACAAGAACACTTGAAATAGCAGGACACTATAGCACAGACGAGATAAATCAAGAGGCTTTGTTTATTTATTCCTCGCTAAAATATATATTTGACGGCTGAGGATAAATCAGAAATACTACTTGAAAATACATTTCCTTGTCTCTGACCCTCAAAGTATGTCGACTGTTTACTGCCAAGACAAAGAAGTAAGTAAAGACTTCTCTGTAAGTGGTCACTGGAATTATTCCTCAACTGTGTGTTGCATTTATTCATTTTTTTAAAATTACAATAAATCACTTTAAGGACAGATTTCTGGATTTTGCTCAAGTGCTCATTTTGCATTCAGATTAAAATAAAAAACATTTTTTATGTAGTTTAAACTTTGAGAATGAAGGGGCTGTATTTTAAAAGCAGCTGATATACTTTTTCTCCTGGTTTGTGTGAGGCAATAACGAAGGATATTGCAAATCAAAAATGATTGAGGGGCATTTATGAGAGGAGGCTTTAGTGAATATAAATGTGCCACACAGCAGTTCTTTCACAACTAATCTGAATTCATTTCCCTCTGCAGGTTTTCATGTTTTCATCCATTTTTCTCCTTCCTCCCTCTTGCTCTTTGTTGGATCTTTGTCTTTACTCATCCTCCTCTTTTCATCCCTCTCCTCACCTCTCTCTGTCCACAGGTCGCTCAGTCCCACCTCTGTTAATAATAATCCCTTCCCCCTATCTTCATCAGCCATCTCACATTCTCAGTATTTTCTTCTTTGTCTCCCCCGCTCAGGCGGTGAATCAGGCAGGCGCTGGCCCTTACAGCGAGCAGGTGAGTTTCAAGACCCCAGCGACGACTCCCGATCAGATCCCGCCTCTCATCCTCCTGGAACTCCCCACCTCCTCTGAGTCGGGGCACTCCCCGTCTACCTGCCTCCTGCTGAAGTGGGAGGAGCCGAACAGCAACGGGGCGGACATCACCTCCTACGTCATCACCCTGGATGAGCAAACCATCGCTGTGGAATCAGGGACGAGTCACCTGGTCACAGGCCTGCAGCCGGACACCGAATACAGGTACTGATGATGGTCACTAATCATGAAGTTGACACTTTGTAGAAATATTTGATCGGATGTCCCTGGATACTTTTACCACTACGACGCACAACATGCTAACACACATTGCATAGTACTTTTCATTTGGTGTCATGCACCTGGCCGCCCCGATGAATATAAGTCTTTTAAACTCTATCTTCACATTTTATGTTTTAAGTTTGTTATCCGGAGGGAACCTCAGTCTTCATGCTACATTAACAGTGACTTTAAAACACAGCGAGGCAAAGGCAGCATATCACATATACTTACAGTATACAGTATATTGTAGTATTTCTGTTTACTTCAAGGTTGAAAAAAACATGCCAGTATACATATATGCGCATGCCTTTATCATATATACAGTATATAGCATAAACAATGAGAAACAAATATATATATATACTCTGTCAGTATAAATCATATATTTATATCTATATGTGTTTATTGGTGGTAGTATTAGTAGTAACTAGGAATAGCTTCTGTGATGTTTGCTTGAGCAGTGATGGCAGAACTGAAGCAGCCGTATACAACCACTTGATAACATGAGTAACTGGCTGCTGCTGCTGCCATGTCCCTGTAAACAATTCAGTGATTGTGTGTGTGTGTTTGTGTGATTGTGTACATGCATGTGTAGTGAGTTCTTTGAAGAGGGAGGAAAAAGACAGGGTTTCCAAGGTAGGGGGCCGCGTAAAGAGGCAGGGTGATCACACACACCATTGTTCTTATTCTCAGGTTGTTTTTGTCCAATGTCACTTTGCTCTCTTGTATAATCGCTGCTACTGAGGCAGAACACAGTGTGTTTGTGTGCATGTGTGTCTGTCAGTGGGAGTTTGTGTGTGTTTGGTAGTGACGGTAATGCAGGTTGTTATTTACAGCAGTGGGGTACTTCAAATAATATCATCCACATTTTATTTGTGTGTATGGTTTTGTGAAGGACCACAGCAAATGTTGTTTGCTCTGTCAGAAGTGGAGGCAGACCATTGCAGGATGAAAATATCTCCGTTCCTATGGAGCTTTTTTTCCTGTCTTTATTCAAGAGCGTGGTCTTTCAGTTTGAGCACATGTCTTGTTGAATTTATGTTCAGATTGTGTTTTACTTTTCATCAAAACCCTGCCCTTTCACTAAAATAGTTATTATTGCTCAGCACGAGACAGGATTACCTGAATCCTCGTGGTTGTGCGGTGATCACGTTTTTGTTCAGAAAACGTTCGTCTTTATTTTCCTTTGCATCACGATAACACAAAAGATTTATGAAGCATCTGTTTGGAACCTTTTAACTAAAACTCTAAAAATAGTCCCTCTTCATCAAAAGCCAAGATTCTTTACCTTTCAGTCCCTTCCTTTTCAATCTCTGTCCACCTACCATCTAATTACCAGGTGCATAATTACAGACGGATGGATGGATGATAGATGGACGAACGTTGCCCTTTCTCCTCTGTCTTCACTCAGACGAATGGATTAGAACGAAAGGTTGCAGTTACACAGAATCTGCAATTAAATGTCAGATGGTGGATCCTCTCGAGCCAAGCGCATCTGATATGGATGCTAATCAGACATTGACAGAAAATAGGTGTGGAAGTTAGACAGATATCAAGAAGAAAGGCAGCAGGGTAGAAATGCCATTAATGTTAGTGATTTTCAATAAGGAGCAAATACAGTGACACATTGGACCAAAGTTCTTTCCAAATCGTATACGTAATGTTTTTCAATGTTTGTTTTATATATAACGGGAGAAAAGCTGGGCCAACTAGTCTGACATATTAAGTCTGATCCCCGGCGGGTACAGTGAATCGTAATGAAAAGGGGGGGGGGTGATGGGAGGATGGATCCAAGGTCAAAGCTAAAACACTGGATCGGCCTCTTTGCTGTAAATTACCCCACCATTAGACAAATAGGTCTGTAAACACAAGGAGACAAACATGGAACAAAAAGTTCAGTTTTGGGTCATGAACTTAATCCGTGCTCACTGTCCTAATAACATAATACGCTAGCACTGGCAAACATGTTCCATTTTCACCCTTTAAAAGTCTGTCGCGAACGAAATCCTGATTCTTCTCTCTGTGGTTTTTGCAGCGTACAGATCCAGGCGGTGAATGCCATCGGCTCCAGTCCCGCGAGTCCCACCCTGCAAGCAAGGACACGGCCCCTTCCCCCGGCCCCGCCCCCGCTCGAATGCTCGGCGGCCGGCCCTCAGAGCCTGAAGCTGAAGTGGGGCGAGAACGTCAGCCACACGCGCGCCCTGCTCACCGACGACACGGTCTACATGCTACAGATGGAGGACAAGAACCACAGGTGGAGTACACGCAACTTACATGATTGTGGTGACTGAGAGAGGACGTGGCTTATTATTTCAGACCACACGGAAATGTTAAAGATAAAACGTCAAATATCCCAAAACACCCGTCTTGTAGTCCTGACGCCCTCTATTACATCAAAGTCTACTCTACACACAAAATTAGAATCGTGGAAACGGCTGTAGTTTAAGTCGTTGGGTTGTATAGTTAACTCAACAAGGAGAAAGCCCCATGAGAACAATTAGCATAAAGGTATATGGTTGAAATCATCCGAGCTTCATCATCATCACACCGCTTTTTACTTTGGGGGTTGCGAAATGGCTGGAACCAAGTTGACCCTGGACATGTAGGCAGTGTATCACAGATCCAAGACAAATGACTCCTGCGCTCCTGCTCGACTGGAAAAACAACCTTAAATGAATTAAGTCCCTTTTTTACCCTAATTGATGCCTCACTAAAAAAAGATGTGATGGTGAGTTCTGCTTTTATTGACCTGAAGGTTTGGACCCAGATATGGATTTTATACATCACGTGTGATGTCACAGTTAACAAGGGGGATTGGAACCATGGAATCTAGTGAAGCCACATTGAAACCATGATGTCCTGTTTAGTGGATCTGCATTCTAACCTCTCAGCCACCTTCTCAGACTCCTTAACCCATAGCTAATCAACACAGCAAATCAGCACCCAGAAGGTCAATACTACACACACACACACACACACACGCAGTAACTAGATGTACCAGGGAGTAGACACGTTGAGGGCATGTAGAACCAGGCGGGATACAGCTTCCAACAATTAATCCTCCATTTAACTGACTGTTAAAGGCAGGAGAGAGGGAATTAGAAGAATAAGGAGGAGAAGGGGCAGAACATGACCACCGACTAAGAAAGAGCATGAGGAGGGTATTTTTGTATTTTTTTTATTAATGTTAGAGCCCAGAAAACCGTGTGGAAGAGAACGAAGAGGCAGGAAAACAGAACAAACTGAGCCATGTTTGTCTCCTTACGTTTCATGTCAGATAGTGGTGCTCCCTCCCTCCCTCCTTCCCTCCCTCTGCCGTTATGGTTGGGCGGGTATCAGTGTGTGAATTAAGGCTTTGCTGGCATCAAGTCCCAGGTACCTTGGCACCCCTGGAATGGGCCAGAGAGCAGCAGGCGATCTGTTAGCCTCTGCAACACACACACACACACACACACACACACAATGACATATGCATGCACGAAGGCACAAACACACTAGTTAAATGAAAATGGCTTTCACAGCGAAGAGAGTTTAATCTGCTGTTTTAATTTGAACTGTGATGTGTGGTTATATTTGGATGCATCTGTTTGTATGCTTACGTCTGTTCTCTCCAAACCTGGTGCTGATGGGGTTTTGTGAACCATCCTGTTATTTATTTTTACCTGCAAATGATTTAAATTGATGTTGATGATGTATGATTTTCTCTTCATTCATTCTGATTATATAAATATTATGGCACATTCTGGACTCATACACGTTAAAAGAGACGATAATATTTAAATATATTACGAATTTAACTAAAGTGGCTATTCACAGGAGAAGCTGATTTATCGCTGATTTCTAAGTTTAGCCCGGTTTCATTTTTCTTTCCTCTTCCACACGTGTGGCTTCCTGCTCTCTGATAGTAAACTTTAATACGTGTTTCATTCAAGTGGGAGTCAGTGGATTAAAACTTGCTGTCACTGTTTGATTTATCTTCACTTTTATATGGAGCAGAATATGCCGATGAATGAAAATAGAGAAATAAAATTTAATTGATTTAATTTAAAAAGTGAAATTTTGCAATCTCAGTTCAAACTGGATGATTGGAAGTATATCAAGAGTAATAATAGGGAAGTATTTGATCTTTTCACATTAACTGCAACTTTTTTATTCAGCTCAATATTTAAATTGATTGAGTTTTCATAATGTGCATTAGGATCACAGCGAAGGTTTCATAGAATTCACTTAAGGAAGGTAATCACTCAGCAGGGTTGAATTGTGAGCGTGGATTTTATGTAGTCAGTTACTAGAAGGCTTATTAAACAAGAGATGATATATTCAGATACAAATTCTGTTAATTTAGTAAAGAGGCACATAGCAGCGTCTCCACTCAGCCCAAATACACAAATATACACACTTTTTCGCTCTCTCCTTTTCATCTCCACCATTTTCTCCATGAGGTAACCGTCCCTCAGGTCTGTAATTGGCGGAATGGCTCCATAATGACAGCGTGTGACTCCGGACTGTTTCAGCCTAATTTTCTTTACTTAGGATTCATTAGTCGCAGCCACTCGTGATTCTGACAAGACGTTTAGGCATATTCAGAGCTGTTGCTTCACTCTGTGCATGCGTGCGTGTGTGTGTTTGTGCGTGTTTGTGCATGTGTGTGAGGCCCAGGTTTTACTCATGTTTAGTCACTTTATAGGGACGAAAAGGACGTCCCTATAGGTAAATCATACAATTTTAAGGTGAAGGCATGTTTTAAATTTAGGTGAAGGTCAGGTTCATGTTCATGCCAAGATTAAGTTTAAAGTTAGGGTAAGGGTAAGGTAAGTAGTAAATATGTTTGTGCGTGCGTGTGTGAGTGAGTGAGTGTATTATCAACAGCTCATAACATCGAGCTGGTTTACTGCACTATACTCCCTCTAAGCTCGACCTCTTTCTCATCCCACTTAGCAGGAATTATTATTAATGGTGAAATTGCCATGGCAACCAGCTAATCATATTAAATGCCAGTAGCAATTTCTGCAAAAATAATTTATTTATAGATTTTTTCCACAAAATATAATTGTATTAATTTTTCCCCAAATAGCATTAGTGTCTGTTTGTGTTTTTTGCATGTCCCAGACCGTCCCTGACTGATGAAATTCATATTTATTCATCTTGTTTTATTGTTGGAGAGGTGTCTCACCTCTAGAGGATCTCTGAAAACATGCGCACATCCTTTCATAAACGTCCTCCCTCCCCTCTCTGGTTGTCCCCTTTCCGTTCTGCCGTGTCTTCTTTATTACTGCAATAGCTGATAAAGAAAGCTGTTTTCACAGATTCACAATATTGAATCTGTCATTTTTTCATTCTCCCACCCCTCTTTCTCCCCTTTCATTCTTATCTCCCTGTATGCAGACTTGTTGCTGGTGTTCCATCTTCCCTCGCACACACAGCTTTTGCATTTTCCCTTGTTTTCCTCACTCCCCCGTTGCCCGGTTGTTGCCCTTTAAAAGCCGATGAGTTTGTTTGATTTTTCTCATTTCGCTTGATAAATGAGACTCACTTTGTATTTACTCAAAATGCCTTCTGGCAGGGGTACTGGCAGTGTAAGGGTGCCATGGCAACATGTAAGAAAAAGGATTCAACCTTGTGACACAATGGATTTTTTAGACAGATGCAGGTGGAAGAACATGCACTGAGGGAAAAGCTTAGTTGCTGTCACTCATAAGAACTATTCATCCATACAGCCTCCATCCATCCATCAGCCTTTCCTAAATTCATCATTTCATCCACCCAAAATTGCTTCTTTCGTTTTCCATCAATACACTTCCACCCATCCGTCAGTCAGGCCAACCATTTGTTTGTCCCTCAGGCTAAAAGTAGAGAGATATCCCTCTTTAGTTTTATCCTTGTTGTTGTTTCATCCCTATTTTCCCACCGAGTCAGCCAGTGAGCAAAGTTGTTTCTCTGTCAATATTATTAACGGCATGAATAATTAGCCAAGTGCGAAAGAGTGTGGATCCCCGACCCAAGCCCGCAGGGACTCCTCGAAACCAGAACTCGTCCTGTCGAGACTCGTCTGGCTCCAACTCGTGTTAAATTCAGGACTTGGTCAGTTTTCTCTCGGGCTTGGAAACATCCAGAAAGAAAATTGCAGCCTGAGCCCCACTCTAATGTACGATGCACGGATATAAAGCAACAATTAAATAAATCATGTGAACTAAGTTGGACTCAACAACAAAAAGCTCATTATGACATTTTTATTTTGGATATAGCATCATGGCAAAATAAATGGCGTTATCTTTTCAGCCTGAGTTGAACGATTGCGGCGCAGGTGGAGTTAAAGAAAGATGTCTGCATCTCTATCACGGCAGCAAAAAAGGCCAATCTGACAAAATAAATACAATTCTATTTCTTGATATCCGATATTTACATTCTAAAAAACATAGGCGTTAATAATCCGAACAAATCACATCTTTGTCTGTTTCTCACCTCCCGTGTCCTCTGCTCCTTGTCGTGGTTAATTGCTCGGCTGGTTGGCTTCAGCCCAGGGACGCGGTTCATCTCATTAAGTGTGGCCTGGTGATTTTTATGTGTGTGTTGTTTCCAGTCTGCTCTGCACTGTGCCGAGCGTTAATTGTTTTTGATACTCTGCCACTCAGCTCTGGCCAAACGAGAAGAGGTCATGACTCATAACGATGGAAAAGCTGACACGTGCGTTTGCTTCATAATTGTAAAATTTGCGAATGCTTTTTTTGGGCCGTGCAGTCGTTAGCCGAGCGTCCACAGAGGGTAAACAAGTTGAGGCAGGAGGTGTCTGTGTGTGAGGAGGATTAATGGCGCCATACATCAGCCAGAGAAACACACCCGAGCTCATCTGGAATTAAAACATTCTACTAAACAACGGCATCCGTCATCTCTTCTTTCTCTCAATGCACATCCTCCATCATGGTCTCCCCTCTTATAATCAACCCACCCCCTCCTCCTTTATTTCTTGCCTTTCTGCAGAACTTATTTTGCCTTCCTTGCTCCCATGCTGCCTCCTCCTGTCTGCTCGCCTTCTCTTCTCTCACACGGCTTTCCCACTCTTTAGAGACCTTCACCTTTTTTTGCTGAAAAGCTGATAATGGAGATAAATATACCCTCCTCAGCTAAAACCCCCATTTATCCCTGACTCACTCACACACAATTTGTCTTTCCGTCAGTCCATCCGTCCATCCGTCCATCAGTCCATCCATCCAGCTCGCCAGAAACTCCTCTGGTGCTCTTTTCCATCAGATTTGAGACAATGGCCTGTCAGTATTCATCCTGTTTGTTAACAAATCACCACTGTCTTTTTGTATTTATTTATTTTTAGGATGCAGCCATCTCCTCTCTTCCCTCCAGAAACCCTGTCACTTTTCACTACTTGTTATTCATGTCAGTCATACCTCAGGGCAACATATACTAAGCCTATGTTGATGCTGCAAAAGCCTTTTTTCACACCTGACATTTACATGTGTTTCAGGAGCCTCAGTGTTTCCTGTGGGGGAGATGAGCTCCCTTTACAACGCACTTGCTTTTTAACTTACAAGAAAACCTGCACAACCCACAAGCGGAATGAAAAACTGAAAAGGCATCATATGTCTCAGTCAAGGCTGAACACATCAATCTTATAATCAATTAAGTCTAAATCATTTCTGATTTGTAAACACCAGATATCCATGCCTCATTTTTCACTGCTTTTGTCATCCAAGTTTTCAACTGTGAGTTTCTCCAATACGTCTTCCTCTGATCTAATCTCAGCACCATTACTCTTTCTTTACTCCCCCTTTCTCATGCCATCCTCCTCAGATTTCTCTCTCTCTCTCTCTCTTTTGGTTTTGTGACTCATTGTCTCTTTCCCCTCTTTGTGATGTTTTCTGTCCCAGGTTTGTGACGATCTACCGCGGCCCCAGCCACACCTACAAGGTCCAGCGACTAATCGAGTCCAGCAGCTACAGTTTCAGAATACAGGCCATCAGTGACGCTGGGGAGGGTCCGTTCTCTGACACACACACCTTCTGCACCACCAAGTCTGTGCCCCCTGCCCTCAAAGGTAAACTCACCCAGGCAAAGTGTGGGTTTTGCTGGATGATGAAACTAATTCTTTTATCTTTTACAATTTAAGACTTAAGCAGTGTGTAAAAATACAAAAACTAGTGGAGCGTGCTGCGCACATTTCTAGATATCAGTTCGCCAAATATGCCTGATGTTTTTTTTTTTTATCAAAATTTGCTTTGGTTCTTGAGAAATTCACAAAAAAACTCTCATGCTGCAAACATAACCTGGGTGGAGGTAACATGTTGCACAGGGCCAAATTTAAACCTTAATTGCTGATCCCTGAAAATAAAATAGTTTTGTGTCACAAGTGCATACAGCGAGAAATGTCCCGAAATTGGCCCAATACATTAACAGGCCAAAAGAAAGTCAGTACATTTGTTTTGAGGGCGTGTTTGGACAGTGTTTGGTCTTCGCTGTAAACTGAGGTGACAACTTGTTATAGCACAATAACGTTCGCAGTAAAGCGTAGCCTCACTGGTGATATAACCCCAGAGCATTATGGGTATGACTGTAAGGCTGTGATCGTGCAGCTCAGCATTGATGAATCAATAAAAAGATTAATGGCCACCGAGGATCCAAACGGCTACGGGTGGAAGAGGTTGAGACAAATCAGGTGAGCAGGTCCCTGGTTCTGAATGATCAGTCAAATGTGAAGCTGCATGTAGCACAGCTGCTAATGCACTCCATCTTTGTTGTCGTATTATTTCCAACATTATCTTCCAAGGATGTTATTGCTTTGCAGAAAAACGTCGCTTGAAAAACAAAATTATTTCACATGACTAATGTCTTCATTTTGTTGTTGCTTAAAACCAGGATGACGATGCAGGAGCTGTGCAGTTTAAATAGCTTGACGCTAAAAGCCATTAACAGGACTGTAACCATCAGTGCTGATATGACCAATTAGACTCCAGCAGGGAGGCGGATGTTAGAATTCGATGATATATAAGTGGCTTGTAACGAACTATGGACATATAGATGCAGTACAGATAGGTTTGCAATTATAGTGTTGAACATCAGGTAAACATCTCTTCATGCTTTCAATTCTGAAAATCTTTCATGTGATTAATTTCATGCTTTGACGCCAACAGCTCCCAGAGTGCACCAGCTGGAGGGCAACATGTGCGAGATCACATGGGAGACGATCCCACCGATGAGAGGGGATCCTGTGAGCTACGTGCTCCAGGTGCTGGTGGGCCGCGAGTCCGAATACAAACAGGTAAGCCTCAGACACACACACACACACACNACAAACAGGTAAGCCTCAGACACACACACACACACACACACACACACACACACACACACACACACACACACACACACACACACACACACACACACACACACAAAGAGGTTGTATGAGGATAGGTTTGAGTGGTTTGAGAGTTCTGAAACTCACAAATTTCGTTTATTGAAGAATGAACACTTTTTCCCTGCTCTGAGAGAAACTGCCTTCCTGGGTAATCTGCCGCGTCTGTAGTTTTTATTGAACTATATCTTAACGAGAATTACAACACAGTGAATGTTTTTGGCTGTGCTTTATATGATTGAATTCATTGTGTTAAGATATATGGGATCAGGTGAAAGGCAGGTAGAGTGATGAGTGCAGTAGTAGACCAGAGACAGAAAGACATTTGCCTTCAGGGCCATTTTTCTCTCTCTGATTGAATTACTGAATGGTAACAGAGAAGAACTGCTGAGTGCAGTGTGTGTGCGTGTGTCTGCAATGTTGCGTTCCAGACGTTTTGTGTGCCGCTGCTCTCTGCTCTCGTCTTCTCTTAATGACACAGCGAGCAGAGCATTATACATGTATTTACTTTCTCTGTTTTTAATCAGCAAATTGAATTCACGAAAAAGATGAGCAGGAAATTCTAAATGCTAAAAAAAAAAAAAAAAAATCGATGTGTGATTCTTTAAAGCACATGTACTCTTACAGTCCACCTCGTGCCTTTTTTAAACAGAATGACAAATGAACAACCTTGTCATTGTTCCTGATCAGCAACAGGCGGAATTAATTTTGACAATGAATGGGTAAGTCCGCAGAGAGCAAACAATACAAAGTTTCAAGGTTTCAGAACTTTTTTTTTTTGCAGCTGTTTTCATATCAGCATTCTCAAGGATTGAAACCTGTAAAACAAATTACACTTGGAGAACAGAGACACATTTGAAAATGAGTTGGAGCATGCTGCTGTTCAGAAGAATGAGATCACAACTTAATTTCAATCATGTGAAACCTTTTTCTAATAGATTTCAAACACTAAGTTTCATATTTATCCCTCAAAAAACAGGAATATGTGTGTGCCAGCTCATTTCTCTACACACAACATTGTTTGGTTGCACTTGTTCTTTCACAGTTACAGAATTAAATGGAGGCTGTGTAACAGTGGGATCACAGCAGACGTGACCCCCACCAACATGTTGATGATTAGACCCGTGAATGCACACATCTTCCATCTCTGCCCTCCTTCTGATGTGAACTACACAACCGTGTAAAATGTATTTTCAATGGTTGTGACGCTGTTGCAGTGATAAAATCTGTCCGCAGGCAGACGAACGGGCATATTTTATAACACCTGATTTCCAAAGTACTCATAACCACCTCTACAGTCGATGTCTCCAGATTTACATTCTGTCACAATGACCCAACCACAGTTGCACAAGGTGAAAACAATCCCGGTGTTGCTTGCTGCTAAAAAAGAAGGTGAACTGTCAAGAGAGTAGAATTGATTGCGTGTCCTTGAGCTCGTCATGGCATCATAATGTGATTGTTGTTATCTGAGATGGCTCCAGGAGTTATGAAGAAGAAATTAACAAAATGGGCTCAAGGCCTTTTCAACAAGAGTCTAAAAACAATACCTGTGAACGTCTGTCACCTGCTGGTGTTGTTGTCACCTCCTCTAAGTTTAAAGGTGTAGTTGAGATCAGAAAAGATCTGGTTCGAAGAGGAGTGTGGTGTGACCCATGATTACTGAGTGAGCAGGCAGCGGCTGTTCTGAGCCCGTCCCTCAACATAGATTGTCTTTTTAACTCATATTCAAAGCAGCAACTCTCCATCCTTTTATATATTATCCATACATTTTCATTTTCATTTTGTTTTTTCCTCCCCTCAGGTTTTTAAAGGAGAAGAGGGTGTGTTCCAAATCTCTGGTCTCCAGGGCAACACAGACTATCGATTCCGCGTTGGCGCCTGCCGCCGCTGCCAGGACTCGTGCCAGGAACTGTGCGGACCACTGAGCCCCTCCTCTCTGTTCACGCTGCGTCGCCAGGAGTCTGCGTCATCCGGGGAGCTGTGCGCCGTGGAGACGGGCAAAGGGGCGGGCCTGATCTCCAGCGACGAGCGCTTCGCAGCGCTGATCGTGTGCGTGTTCGCGGGCTTCTCCATCCTCATCGCCTGCCTGCTACAGTACTTCTTCATGAAGTGAGGGAATTTTAACTATAGGAAAGAAAGAGAAAGCAAAATCACAGAGAAACTTTAAAAATATAACGTCTATGAAAGAACCGAATGAAATCAAAACACTTGAGATGAACTTCTATGTATGTTTTGTTTTTGTTAGTCAAAGTATCGATTCAGGCTTTTCCTCACCTCGTTCCTGTCGTCTTCTGCCTTCGCTCGGTTTGGTCTCATTTCTCTCTACGTCTCTGTTGTCTTTGTATCATCGCCTGTTCCGTTCGTTGTGGACTTCTACCGAGGGAAGCCTCGTCTTAGCCGAACCTCGGTTGGAAAAGAAAACTGATAATCAAGCCTTAAAATAGCTGTGAGCAGAGCAGTTGCTCCTCAGACTGACTTGCATGTTTTTACTTTATATTTTTTTTTAAAACATATTCGATTAGAGAACGTGTATATTTCTTGACGGTCATTGCCTTACAATAGGTTTTTTTCTTTGTTTTTCGATGTTTTGATTTTTGTTTTTGCTGCAGTCTTTATTCATTCAGCCATATTCCAATGTAGGCCTTCAAAGCTTTAGCCGTAATTATCCAGTTTGTTACTACTCTGCAGGCTGTCGGTCCAATCATGCAATCTGAGTCGAGACTGACAGACACGCGCAACGTGCAGACTTGCGTACATATACGTGCACACGTGTACAATTTCACTCATGCAACGACAATGACATAACACGTTTTTTCCTCCTACGAAGGCAATCACTTAATCCGCTCAGCTTTCAACGTTCAATCACTCACTCATTCAGCTACCAAAGTGATGCAATCCATGTGTGGTGTAAGATGCTGCTATCCTGTGATTTTATTATATCTAAGAAAGAATGGAAAACCAGTAATCTAATATATGTACACACAATATATATATATTATAACAAATATCTATGATGCTATAGAAGTGATGTAATATAAGTGATGGCAATGTAAGGTCTGAAGTACAGTGTAAAAGCGGAGGAGTTTTACTGTAGGTGCTCACGCCAGCAGCTCTGAGGTCAGTTCAGTAGCTCGTGCGACTGTTTGAAGGAGCCCTTAAACGCTGGCCTCGGATCAGCGCGTGAACCCTTGTAGGTATTGAAATGTTGGGGCGTAAACTGGCTTTGGCGTCGAGGAAGCCGCGGGCCTGGTTCGTGATCGGCTGCAACTTTTGCAGGAAAAGGGCTGGGCAGGCGAAAGGCCCTCCGTCAGTCCTACCATCTCAAAACACCATTTCTCCAGCCTATTAATCCGTAGCTTTAGTAGCGATGTGCCCGTAGTGTCACAGACCCAGAGGTGCTAACAGCTAGCCGCCTTTCTCAGAGCTGTGTGTGTGTGTGTGTGTGTGTGTGTGTGTGTGTGTTAACCAGGAAAGCCATTAGGAGTTAGCTTGAGCTTTACCCTTCTGAAATGTATCCAGCTGCGAGCCAGAGCTGAAGCTGTAGTTTCCTGTCGGCTCGTCTGTGAATCGATTCATTTGAAGACTCTGCGCCTCGTTTTTCTCATTTCCTGCACACGATTATTAGTCAGTACCTTTTTACCTTGCCTTCCATCCGCCTCCATCTCTCTCTCTCTGCCCATGCACAACTCTCTCTCCCCCCTCCTTCTCTTCTCTCCCTTCGCTCTCTCTTTTAAAAGGTGCTTTATTGACATGTAATCAGAGCAGTAGCACGTCTGCGGTCTCCTCCTCAGATGCACATGTTCTCTGGGGACTCGAACTAATGTTCACTAACCAAACAAGCCTTTGACGGAACACAACTCAACAACACAGGGCATTCTGACACTCGTAACACCCCCCACCTCCCTTCAGAACCTTTTTTTTTGTTTTACCCCAACTCGGAAAAACAAACAAAGCCAAGGTACAGCCCAATACACACACATGATCCAAAGAAGTCACCCTGACCCGCATGGTTAAAGCGTCCACTTTCGTCGGGTGCGGTTGTCGGGGGAGGAGGAGGAATCGGGTGGGGAAAGCGGGAGGTGGAGGGGGTGATGATGAGCTCTGATTGGCAGCCTGTAACGTACCTCAGGGAAAAGGCCTTACAGAGGGGAGATCTCATCCCGTCTTCGTCCCCCGTCGCCGCCGCTGTCGCCGCCTCCGTTTCTCTCCGTCTTCCTACCGGTCCTTCTCTCTCTCTCTCTCTCACTATTTCTTTTTCTTTCTTTCTTTTTTTTTTTGGATGCTGTATGCTGTATCTTGTCCTCTGTCTATGCTGTGCCTTGCTCCTGGATGTCAGTAAGCAAAGTGGTTTACTAGCTCAAAAAATACTTTTGCCAAAGTTGATGGGAAAGTTAAGGTAGAGTTCTTTTCTAGGTTTTTATTTATACTATATATTTGCATACAGTACTTTACATGCCAATTACAGTGCAATCTTCATTTATTTATTGTTTAAAGATTAAGAGACAAGTGTAGTTATATACTAATTTTTTTTTCCTTGTAGCATGTTTTTTTTTCTTTTCATTTTTTTTTTTTTGTAATGGATGTACTTTAGATTGTATGATTAAGGCCAGCATTCCTTATCTCAGTAACCCTTTAAGTATTTCTCTTACAGCTGTTGGGAACCTGTAGCTCATCAGACATGCCTTGCAGTTATCGTTGCCGTTTCAAACATGTAACCAAATGTAATTTTCATGTTTCGTTTCATCTCCTGTTTCGGCTGCACCCAGCCGAGCAGTCCTTGTAATGCTTAGACAGACATGTAGCAAAGCCAGGCCTTAGGGTGAGTTCAGAGTCATCGGTATTGGGATAAACGTGGCTGCCTTTGGCTTTTTGTTATTTTAATTTTTCCTGATTAGTGTTATAATGAAGCTTCTGATATCCTTCTACAGTTTTATTGCCAAAGTGCAGGCTTCTCGTGTCCACTAGATGTCGCATTTGCAGTTGTCTAAAGGGTTCCTGTGATGTTCTTCTGTAACGACACAGCATTATTATTATTATTGTGATTATTATTCTCTCGAAAGGAAAAAAAAAAAACATTAACGTGATCTGTGATTATGCTTCTTTTCATATTATCTTTCATTATTTTGTTTTGTAAAGCAAAATGTGCCATTTTGAAATGTGTAGCCCCTTTTGGAGGAGAGTTTTTAACACAACCTGATTTCACACTGAAAGTTCAAATGCAAAAAAAAAAGAAGAAAAAAAAAGGCAAAAACAATCATTCGATGATTTCAGGCAAACGATATTGACGATTCCTTGTTCAGACTAGTGCTGGTATAGCAGCAGTGAGTATTTTGTATCCAGTATTTTGCTAAGAGATGATTTACAGAGATATCTATAGAGCTATAGAATGAGATGGTAAATACATTATGACTAACAGAGTTGAAGCACTTTTTTTATGCCGAGCATTAGTCTTGATGAGGTTAATGAGAGCGGGAGGGGAAACGCGGCCCTCCGCTCGTTTCCAAACACTACTGCCAACGCCACCTGTTGCATTCATTGGCATCGTCCTGTCATTGGCGTCACTGTGACATTACGGCATTACTGGAGCACGCTTCTGTGCTTCTCGAATGGCGCCCTGCTTCCTGCAACGTCAAGGAAGTGCGGCGCCTTTTTCCTCAGACGTGCTCGTGGTGTCTCTCCCTGCAGCCCCGTCGCATTGTAGTCGACGGTTGCCGCGTGAGGTGTCCTGTCCTTAAAACCCGTGATGTTATGTTGCCCACCCGCGGCCCCCTTCGACCCCCCCCCCATGTTCAAGCCTTAACGCCTTAACGCCCCAGTGGGAGAGCGGAGGTTTTGCCTTGTGTTTGGCCAAACCGAGGCCAGTTATGTTAGCGTTGTATAGTCTGAGGTTAACGCAGTGTTAGCTGACAGACTGCGTGTTTGCGGGCAAGGTACTCCCCTTTTACGTGCTTTGTTGTTTTTGTTTTGATTTTCAAATGCTGGTGATTCTATAGACAATACCCCCCCCCCGACCCAAACGCCCTCCCCTTCCATCGCGCAGGTCCTGCACATTTGTCGGGTGATGACAAGAATGAGAGACTTTTTCTTTTTAATTTTTTTACCCAGCAACCCCCACATCTGTGCCTTCTGATCAGTTTTTTTTTCTTTTTCTTTTTTTAATGTTTTGTACGTTTTACAGTAAGTAGAGATTTTGACTGAGAGATTGGCGATTTGACAAACACACAGAGATTCACAGGTATTTAACTATTTTTTAAGCGAGACAAAAGAAACATATTTTTACCTCACGATTTAAAAAGCAAACATTCCAATGTTGTCATGGTCTACGAATTGAATTTAAAAAAAAGAAATTCATGCATTTCTTCTTGTATTGTAAATGTTAGACAATTTCATATGCATTATATAAAAAAAAACTGCCATATCAATTTTAATGTATAGATTTTTGCAAATACTACCCTATGTATGTAAGACGTAACTGTATCGGTAGCGTATATATAATATATTTATGCCCAATAAATGTTTTAATTTTTTTCTGACTTTGATTGAAACTGTATGTTTTATTGTGTGTGTCGTTACCTAAAGTGCAAATACACTGTTCTACATTCAGTTAGTGTTAGAATGTAAGTACATTTACCTAGTTACTGCACCTTTTTCTGCATTTTCTTTTTTTTGATTTATTTTAAAATTTATTTTTGGGTACTTCTCCCTTGTTTTCCACTATAAATATCAGCAAATAAAAATAAAGTTTCTACTCTACTACATATTTTACAATGCACTGCCTTACATTGTTTTTTATGTTTTTAAAAGTAATCAGTGGCTACAGGGGAACTGATTCACAGATCCAGTCAGATCGGGCAGGTGACATTAGACTCAGTCATAATGACGTAGTAAACGTTTGCACCAGGCAACTTTTACTTTTACTCTAAGTTTATTTAAAAGCAAGTACTTAATTTCTCTTACTCAAGGACAAAACGTTAATGTGCTACTTTAAATTTTACTTCAGTACATTTTTCTTCATTTATTTTACTTTGACGTTCGAGTTCTTCCACCTCTGAGTGACATGGTTCACTGAACAGCTGGATGGACAGATGCACGGTGCAGCGCCGTCACTCCCAATGTCGATACACAAACTGATTTCCTGATGTTTATGGCCTTGTAGCGGTATTGATTTTTATCTTCCAGATTTAATAAAGAGGAATGTTATGTACTGTTGCACTGTCCCCTTCATGGCCCCTGATTTAGAAAAACCCTGATTGTTGTTGTTTTAGATTAAGTTTAACTAAGCAGCTATACAACAAACAGTGGCAATTCCATGACTTGCTCTTCCATAGAGTGGGACGCTATTGGATGAAGTGTTCTGACAGCATCCCGTGCATGCGTGCACATGTGAGTCAATGCTACCTGAGGCCAGTCCCTAAATCCACTCATTTCTCTTATTAAATCTGTTTCTGGTTGGTTTTTTGCCTTTTGTTTTATGACACAAGTTCAAATAAGACAATCTATCAATCAGCCCTGAAAGAGAAAAGTGATTTCTAATATTGTTTCTTCAGCTGAAGACTTTCTCCCTCTTTCTGCATTTCCATTAATCACCCTGTAGTTGAAATGTTACCATCTTGTTCTCCATTTACAAAGCACTTCTGATCCATTCACACAAGAAAAAAGCAAAGAGGAAGTGACTTTTTTCCTTTTTTTACTTATACAAGACTTAAACAGGCACATTACCCAACAGCAGATATTTACAGACATTTTCAAAATAAAGAAAATATCAATCTTTGATCAGTAAATATCCAGCGGATTCATAAATATTAAGTCGTGACATCAGTATGTACAGTCAGAGGCATCGATTGACAGAGATACATTCCTCAGAGCCAGGCGGCCGTGCTTTGAAATGCAGAGTGGTGGAGGCTGCAGCGGGGATTTGGACGTCCGAGTGTGCAGCATCGAGTGAAAAGCATTACAAAGCATCTATTTACATGTTGGAACAAACTTAACATCACAGATCCTCCTTGTCCAAAAGGGTGCACGATACACAAATTACAAAACTGAATCACTTAAACACTTTTCCCTCCATTGCATCAGATAACATATTTAAAGGCTCTTTTAAAAATGTTCTTGTGGGACGTTGTTGTGACATCTTGGCACATTAAGAATATTTTATTTCAATACTGGGCAATCAAGCAGGCTGACCACGTCCTTTGTTGGCAAATCAATAAGAAATACCAGACAAATAGAATACAATAAACCTTGTGCGTGTTTGGTTTGACCGTTAAAGACGTCACAGCCTGCTCACACTGAACAGGTCATGTTCACGTGTGGACAAAAACACTGTGATTCACATTGCAGCCGATAATCCAGGTTGAAATAAACCATGTCAAATCAGACAAATGACAATTCTGCTAACATCTTTCATGCGGATGTTAAAAGCAGAGAAGCATGTTGTCTGTGTTGTGTGAACCGAGATAACTTGTATCAGTACACCTGAGATGGATGACACACGTGTATGTGATCAAATCAGCAACGTTTCAGTGGTGCACAGTTCAGGAGGCGCAGTAGCTTTCTTAGACTTAAGTACCAGACTGATGCTGTTTGCATTGCACTGTTTGTGATAACCTCTCACAGGCTCCTCTAGAGGCCTGAAGGATGAGTAATGTTTATCCATCAACGAGAATGAATAATAGCCACATAAAATAGAGACGAGACATTGTGCAAATGTTTGCATTCTGTAAAATGTCTCAGAATCACACTGCTGTGTCTTATTTTGATAGAAAAGTCATTGTCTTCATTTTAAGGACTGTTCACCAGTTACTTCGACCCTCTTTGGCAGCATCAACATGGCATGGACTTGAATTTCCAAGATACAGGGCACTGAGCATGTCACACATTGATAACAGGATCATTTCACACTCTCTCAAAATAATTACATAAGCATGAACATGTACACAAGGGTACACACTCACACACACACACACACACACACACACACTCACACACACACACACACACACACACACACAGACACACACACACACACTGCACCTGTGCCCCTCTCTATAGGGTACAGAGCGGTGCCACAAGTTCTACAGTGCTTTCTTTGTCATCCAGAATATGATTACAATATAAGGCAATTGTAAATGTCGAGAATGTTTGTGTAGGAGCATGTGCTTCCATGTTGTTCACATTTAACACCCACTTCAGGCCACAGTGAGAGTATGTTTGCCCTCCACCAGATATGCTCTTCATAATGCTGCTGAGTGACTTGTAAGAAAAGGGAATCCATCAAGAAAATGCTTTGAAAAAATAATCGGTTTTCTCTTGATGACGAAGGGAACTGAGGTTTACAGTTTTTTTGTGGCTCAGGCTTTTGTCTGGTTCTTTTGGTCTCAGTCAGGAGTTGTTCCTCGGCCTGGCAGAATTAATGGCTTTTATATGTTGGTGTTTTCAACTTGTGATAATTATCTTATTACGCATGATATGCAGGAACCCTCTGACAGGCGTGCAGTGCGTTCAGAAGCTGACTGAAGACACCGTCCAGCCGTTCGAGCCGTCTCCCTTCATGGTGCTGGCTGTGCGTCCTCGAGGGGGCTGGCTGTCGGCGAGGCCGAAGAGGCGCGCCGCTGCGCCCCGGTACTTCCAGGACATGGTGTTGTAGAGGATGGGGTTGATGGCGGCGCTCAGGTAGAAGAGAACCACCGACACCAAGCTGCAATACTCTGACAACACCGAGAGCAGAGGAGACGGAGCGTCCAGTGAGCGGAACTGCAGGTAGCGACCCACGTGGAACGGCAACCAGCAGAGGACGAAGGCCAGCACCACCACCACTGGAGGGAGAGGAGGATGGAAGAAGAGGAGCAAGTGAAGAGAATGATGAAGAGGAGGAGGAGGAAAGGGAGGTGGTGAAGTGGAGAGAGGGGTAAATAAGTAATTGGATGAAAGTGGATCAAGCTAAGACAAAGGGGCTCAGACTAAATGTAAATTGTGATTTTTAAAGATGTGGCTTGATGCTTAAGCTAAAAACCAGACAATCATTCACTTATTAGCTGATATTTCTTCTCTGAACCACAATATGAGCCGTGCGTAATTTGCTCTCTCTCCAAACTCACCCAGCATCTTGATGGTCTGTCTGTTGCTCTTGTCCCTGTGAGCCACGCGGGAGCTGATGCTTGTCTCTCGGTGTCTCTGCCACAGTCGACGGCCTATGAGGCTGTAGAGCACAGTGAGACAGAACACTGGCATGAAGAAGAAGACGGAGCTCAGCCACACCATGGCACCCATCAGACCTGACTCCACGGCGTAATGCGTCATCTTACACTCCCGGGTGTCCCCCCCGCCCTCCAAGGAGAGGCCAGTCTCATTCATGTCCGAGCTGAATGGTCCCATGCTGTCCCGCTCCACTCCCACCATGACAAACACAGGTCCGGCGCTCAGGAGAGACACTGTCCACAGCAGAAGAATGAGAGCGCGCACCCGCCTCTTTGTAACCAGAGCCTTTGCGCGTAACGGGAAGCAGATCGCCAGGTAGCGCTCCACTGAAAGCGCAGTGATGCTCAGGATGGTGGAGTAAGTGCTCGATTCTGACACGAACTGAAAGAGCTTACAGAGCACGTCCCCAAAGCGCCAGGGCCTGTACCTCCACATGCGGTACAGGTCCAGAGGCATACAGAGGAAGATGAGCAGGTCTGACACAGCCATGCTGCACAGGTAGAGGTTGGTGGTGGTGCGCATGTCCCGGTACTTACTGACCACCAAAATGGTCATGACATTACCGGCCATCCCGACCAGAAAGAGCAGCGTGCAGGCGACGGTGATGGCCGTGAGGAGAGGGATTGAGTAGTAATTGAGAGGAGGCAGAACGTAGTCATCATTCCATGTGGCGTTGTGGATCTTCTCCCAGCTGCAGTTGTGGGAGAAGCACTCCGAGTGATTGGGCCAAGTGGGCATGCTGTCGCCGCGCGGTTATTCACGGGGCCGCGCCTGGCCCTGAGTGATGATGGCACCCCGGGTCTGGGACTCATCAAGCCCCGTGGCGCTGCGCCTCCCTGCCATTATCACTGTCCGAGTTCCAGGGAGGCAATGACTGAGGGCAGGGGGAGGCTGGCAGCCGTGCGTAAAACCAAGATCCTTGCGCGCGTTCAAACCCGTTTACAATGAAGTATTTTTCAGAACTCTGGTCTCAAAAATGATGTCTGAGACTCTCCAGGGAACGTGTTGTCATTTAGAGAATGTAACAGACTGGATACTTCAAATTTGATCCAAATTGTCCTGTTTATTAAGAAGTGGTTCGATATGTTTGAAGAGCTGAAAACACTTGTTCAAAAGAAGAGTAGACGAAGTTACATTCTGGATGAACTTAAGTGTACTCCAAACAAAACAGATAGAGGAAGATAAATACAAACACGTAAAACATCTATTGTCTAAAGATGCAAATAATAAAACTCAAACATAAGCTATCTTCGTTTTCTCTCTGTTTGTGGCGGTTACCAGAAAATGAAACACGATGATCCATCATGCGTCAAGTCCCAAAGAGTTTCCATCACCAGCCGCGGGTCCCTGCGTTTGAGCGTCAGAGAAAAAAACCCAACCGTGGAGCAGAGGACGTGTTGCAGCAGTGAGCAGAGGCAGGGTCGTTATGATGCAGCAGCAGTGAACATCTGCCCTGAGATCCCACTCAGCCAAACACAACGGGGTAAACAACGACCACCGTGAAAACAAGCACCGTGTGACGGAACGGAGACAGTTTTATAAAAGTCACAAAAACAAAGAAGGAACGACGCGTTTTCAACATCATCATTCAAACAGATCCTCCAAAAAAAAAAGGATTTAAGTCAAAGAACCTGAGAGTGATAGAGAAATTCACCTTGTCTCTCCAAATCTGCACCTCTGGTTATGGTGCGCATCCAGTGTTTGGATCCAAGACTCCCAGTGCGCAAAACAGCATATACACTGATGGTGTGTGGTGGTGGGGGGGGGGTCCACAGACAGTCAGTGCTGCAACGCCACCTAGAGGAGCAGCTGGGGCAGTGATTGCTGGGGCTGAATGCTGATCAATTTCAAATAAATACTTGTGTTTACCAAGAGAGCACATGCAGAGGGGAGGAGACAGTGACCCTGTAGAATCTGTGCCCATAAAATGTCCCTTTGAGTATCAGACTCCGCTGATATGTCCTCCAGAACAGGAGATGAGAGAAAAATATATTTCCCTCATGATCAGACATCCTGTTTGACTTTCGCTTCTTAAAATTATGCACATGCAAATAGAGTTACTTGGGGAGAAGGTTAGGAAATTACAGTTTTTACCAAGTGGAAGGTCACATCTTTTGATGATTGATATTTCAGAGCTGCACTCTTGCCCAGACAGAACTGCCTAATTTCCACAGTCACAACGAATTCAATTTCATTATAGCCAGACGCGAGCACGGATTTAATTCCAGGCTCCAATGTGGCCCCAGCAGGATGAAGACAGGAGCCGTGATGTGGCAAATAAGCATGCACACTATTCCTGTGCATTCAAATGAAAAACGAATTCCACCTGCTGTCTATATTATTGCAAGAATGTTAAATGCAGGTTTATACATTTTAAAGTGTAAATACAGTATTATTAGAGTGTTGATGTTGCAGCCAGATTCAAAGTATTGTATTGAGATTACACGAGTCAATCAATCAATCACATTTTATCGAGTCACACAAGTAACATTCTTAGAACACATTTCAACTCATAAACGCCAATAACTGTACTTCTGCTTCTTCAGTTCGGGGAACAGAAACCTAAAATTGAAGAAAAGGTTTTGAGTTTGAATATTGTTATTGGAAACATGTTCTTTAGGCGTATTGTTGCGGACCTAACACTGGACCGGCACCCAGCAGAGCACATACCTCCTCCAAGGCCCAACAGTCTCAGAGCTGCAACACATTTCACATGAGATCCATGAATAATTTCCTGGGAAAATGTTGAAAAGCGCCAGATCTCACAATGTAAAGAAAGTGATATTAAAAATCCTGTAGGTTTCACCTGATCATGATGAGCACCAACATTTAAAAAACTAAGTTTTGTGGTAATCCGTTCAATTGTTTTTCTGTCATCTTGCTCACAAAGAAACAATCACACAAACCAACAATTTTAATAGAAACAAAACCGGAAAGGATGTGATGTAATAAAGGTAATAAAACAGATACTCTGCTCAGACGGTGATTAAGAAGTTTTTTTTTTCTTTAATCATGTTCTAAATACAGTTCTGTGATATTAAGATGCCATGATTGCATCTCACTTGAAACCATTTGAGTGTAGCTGTCACCGGAGGCCACACACTCAGCTGTTGCTGCTTCTATGCAAACAAGGCTATAGTTAGAATAGTGTTGATGTATCTGTTGCTCTTTTTCTCCACGTCGACTAAATATCATCTTCTGTCTTGCTGATGTGGCTGAACAACCTCGGCCTCTGAGATATTTGAGAGTAAAAACAGATTTATCAATTCCAGGAAATGTGAAAAAGTGGGTGAATTAGCTTTATTGGCTGCTTTGTCAGAATTAAATCATTAAAGACAATTCAAGTGTAGATTATTTTCTCTTCCATGTGCTGGAGGCTTCACTGTCTAAAGCAAATGGTGATTTAAATCTCATCACAATTAGAGCGGCGATGTGTTTTTATTGCCCTGATGTCGTCCCAGTGCTTCAAATATTGTTATCTCTCTGCCCTTTGCGCCGTGTTTACCCACAGATACCATGATGTTTATGACCACTGAATCATGAAGTGAGGTGTGTGTGTGTGTGTGTGTGTGTGTGTGTTTGTGTGTGTGTGTGTGTGTGTGTGAGAGAGAGAGACAGAGAACAGAACACAAGCAGGACACTGGTGAGGACAGTCGTGTCTACCACAGCCTCTGTGAGACCTTTTTCATCACATCTGGTTCGTATCTGTCTCCTGTAATGCGATGTTGATGTGTCCAGACTCCAGATGTGTTGCTGTGTGTTTGTGCCGGTGTTAATGTGTATTCGGGTCATAGGCCTATTTTTATATTCAAGAAAAACCCTTAACCTTCGAACTTCTGACATATTGTGTGATCAAACTATATCTCATGGGCCTGCAAGTGCTGAGATAATACAAAAATGCCGTCCAGTATTAAACCAGATGTGCAAAAAGCCTTAAAGAACAGAATAAGCACAGAATATGACACAGATGTTCCTGCTCATGTCATTGTTAGATATTTATTTATGATTTCATTGATCCGCAGTTTCACTCTTGTATTTCCGGCTGGTTGCGGTTCAGGAGTGAGTCTGGCACTGGCAGTGTTTTGTCTGAACTATGCATCCAGGGTGTGGTGCTAGATTACAGGGTAAAGTCTCTGTCATAATGACACACACACACACACACACACACACACACA